GAAGCAGTGGGTGGTCCCCCCTGTTGGGGGTACCCCGCCTGTCTCATGCTCATGACCCTACAGCAGGGGTGTCAAAACTCCAGTCCTCAAAGGCCGCTGTCCTGCAGGTTTTAGACATTTTCCTGCATCTGCACACCTGATTCTTATTAAACTGGTTCTCCTCTGGACATTGTTCAGCTTTGCACCGGTCTAATGGCCCTTTGACGTGAATCAGGTGTGTTGAAAAAGGTAAACCTCTAAAACCTGCAGTACAGCGGCCATCGAGGACTGGAGTTTGACCCCCCTGCTCTACAGTGTGATACCTGGGGACAGGAAATGGATGTCTGCATGTTGTGTTGTGTGAACAGGCAGGGAGTGATGGCGAGAGCATCGGGAACTGCCCCTTTTCTCAAAGACTCTTCATGATCCTGTGGCTGAAGGGGGTCATCTTTAACGTCACCACGGTGGACCTCAAACGGTAGAGCGCGTTTTTTTTTGTTTAGGTCTCAGTAGAAACGGTCCACCGGGGGGTTATCCACTCTAACCTTTGACCCCTGTGCTGGCAGAAAGCCGGCCGACCTGCAGGACCTCGCACCGGGCACCAACCCCCCCTTCATGACGTTCAACGGCGAGGTCAAAGTCGACGTCAACAAGATGGAGGAGTTCCTGGAGGAAAAACTGACGCCACCAGGGTATGCAAGCACACTCTATTTCTCAACTGTTTCCAGAACGTGTACGACAGGATGTAGACCGCTTAGTAGGATAAAGAGGATAAATATTCAGAGGTATTCAGCCCTTTTCTGGACTCTGTCCCTACCAGCTACCCCAGGCTAGCCCCCAGACATCCTGAAGCCAACACAGCTGGGATTGATGTCTTTGCCAAGTTTTCAGCTTACATCAAAAACCCAAGAAAGGACGCCAATGACGGTAAGAGTGACCCCCCTCCCCCCACGGAAATTAAACTGTCGTGGAGATTTTTCTCTTTTGGTTCTTTGTTGAGGGTACCTGGTTATTAATTCCTCTAGGAGAGAGTCGTCTCGTATGTCTGTGTTTTTAGCACCAGTAGGAAATGCAACAATTTCCTTAATCCCATCCAGGATGAATCTCCCATTCCTGTTTATCATTGGAACTGTCTGACTTGCCCTTTGTGCTATCCTCACACCTGAGAAGGTTCTCCTTTTGACCAATCCACATTAGGGCCCTTCCTGACTCCTGAGAATAAGCATAGCCCTGTCCTTTTAGAGGTTCTCCGTGGGACTTCCTGAGGACTTAATGTAAATCAGAATCTCTTTGTTGTTGATAAGAAACACAGTGGCCTTTTCCTTTCCTTTATCCACACTAAGTTATATAAGTGAACGTGCCTTTCCATCGGCGCACTCACTTTGGTTTACTCTGTGATCTGCGTCTTCCAACGCTGTTAACTTCGAATAAATCTCTGTATTGGACAAGATCAATCTTCTCTAATCATTAAGAAACTTTGCCTCACTCATTTAAAGAACATTTTCCATAACAAAACTCACATGTCAAGGTTTCACCGTGCTCCCAACGTGCACCTCTGCCATTTCAAGCCTTAGAGAAAGCTCTGCTGAAGTCCCTCCGGCGCCTTGACGACTTCCTGAGGACTCCTCTGGCTGATGAGATCGATGCGGATGCCTCAGGAGACCTGCCCGAGTCCTCCAGGAGCTTCCTGGACGGGCCGGAGCTCACCCTGGCCGACTGCAACCTGCTGCCCAAGCTCCACATCCTGAAGGTGCTCCTGTCGGCTCTCACTTAGCCTCAACCTGCAGGGTCCACTTTGACCTGTCGCTCTTTTTCCAGGTCGTCGCTAAGAAGTATCGGAGCTTCGAAATCCCGGCGGAGATGACGGGAGTGTGGAGGTATTTGAACAGTGCCTACCAGAGGGAGGAGTTCACCAGCACCTGTCCTGCTGTGAGGGAGATCGAGTTTGCCTATTTGGACGTGGCAAAGCAGATCAAATGAGAGCAGAAGCAGTGGGCCAATGAAAAATGAGAGGAACACACATTCAATAAGATCACAAGGGTGTCATCTACAGCCCCTTCAAACTAAAAGTCTGGTCTGGAGGAGGATGTGCAGAATAGATCAGACCAAACTGATCCTAAACTGTAGAAGAGCCAGGAAAGTCTTTGTTCTGTTGTGGAATCACAGAGGTTTTCATGTAAAGCTAGTTAGTTAACACCACTTCTGGCTCTTCAAACCGTCTGTGTCCAGTGTAGAAAAGCCCTCCGCCTACAGGACAACGGTTCCTCAAAACTCTGCCTGCCATTGCTAAAAGACGAGATGAAAAAACTGCTGCGCGGTCCAATCAAAGTGATTGTTTTCTTGATTCCAGTTGATTGATTTTGATGAACAATACAGATTTGACGCATTCTGGTGTGAAACTGGGAGACGAGTGGTTGGACCTCTGCTCAACTGTGCACCGCCATTCCCTAAAAAAAACAGCCAAATGGAGCCAAACCATCATTATCCCGATGTTGTGACTTTCTTCAGTTTTTCACTTCTGGATTTGCTTTCTTTTCAGAGTACCCATACAAACCCACTGACCCTACAGAAGGTCTTTTTCTGTAACAGGGTGAAGATGACTGACAGTACATGGAGCCACTCTGTTTCCTTTCTTGTGTTAATCTGTCCTGATCAGCGTTTAAATGAGCCGATTTCTCACTTTTCAGTGTGTAAAGCGAGTATTAAGACGGTGTCGATGAAAGCCTCCTGTCTCTTAACTTAAATCAGGTCATTTATGATCAATATCTCACATGTGAGCCGTGGTTCAGTAACCCTGTTTTCCCCCGTTTGGATCACAGGAACCCGGAGGGACGGTCATTTGGAACAGTGCTGGTCTAGTTTCTTATTACCTGTCAGCCTTGTAGGTCATGTGTCCAAAACTAGCCCGCTGTGTTCTGGCCTTATACCTTACATTCATCAGGAGTCTTTATTAAACTGGTTTTTGTCATAATGTGCACTGTCGTTTGTCATTTTGGGACCTGAAGCCCTGAATCCCCCCCCTCTGGTGGGAGTGTGTGCTGCAACACTGCCATCTGCTGTTCATAGTGTGCAACTTCAGCCTGAAGTTTCTTATTTCTTTCTTTATGCATCCCAAGAACTCCTCACAAAGGACAACAAAAGCTCTCAGAACAGTGGAACAAACAAAACAAAGACCTTATGGAGGTTTCTCTCTGGGAAATGAACATTTGTCCTTCTTTTGGGATTTTGTTGAGATCTTGAATCCTAGCTGCCTAGTTCCTGACACAGAAACCCCGACAGCTGTTCCCTTCTATAAAACTGTTTGTGATTTATCCTTTTCATTTAATTTTAAAGGAGACATATCATACCCTATTTCAAGTTAAGCTAGTTCCCTGGTGTCCTAATGTAATGTCTGTGACAAGCTTTGGTCAGAATCCCATAAGGATGAAGCCCAATAGCAGTTCAGTCCCCCTGCCTAACCCTAACCCTAACCCTAACCCAAAACAGCCCCGTTCAGAGCGCTCGCTTTGGAGTGCCTGTCTCTTTAAATGCAAATGAGACACAGGCAATCCGCCCACTTCTTCAGGGAGGTGTGCCCACGTCGGCACACTAACGCTACCATGCTAACGCTACCATGCTAACGCTACCATGCTAACGCTACCATGGTCACGCTCACGCTACCATGCTTATGCTCACGGTAACAGGCTAATGCTCACGCTAACGCTACCATGCTTACGCTCACGCTACCATGCTATTGCTCACACTAACACTACCATGTTTACGCTCACGCTACCATGCTAACGCTCACGCCAATGCTACCATGCTTACGCTCACGCTACCATGCTAATGCTCACGCTAACGCTACCATGCTTACGCTCACGCTACCATGCTATTGCTCACACTAACACTACCATGCTTATGTTCACGCTACCATGTTAACGCTCAAGCTGCCATGCTAACGCCCTCTTTAATGCTACCATGCTAACGTTCACGCTACCATGCTAACACTACCGCGCTAACACTACCGTGCTGACGCTACCGTGCTGACGCTACCGTGCTAACACTACCATGCTAACGCTACCATGCTTATGCTACCATGTTAACGCTACCACCCTAACGCTACCATGCTAACGCTCATGCTACCAGGACGTCTCCACAGATAGGGGAGTGAGCTGAGGGGGGGGGGGCAACATGC